TCAGATCCCAAAATAGGCCAGTCCACTTCAAAAATCCTTTATTTTCTTCCTCAGCTATAGACAAAATGAAATCAAATCGTAGAAAAGGACCACACCCTTCTTCAAGCTGTTTCAAAATGTTGTTATGCTTCTTTTCTCCAGTAAGTGGTTTTACTGTTCCTCTATATAATCAGATTGATAATTTGTCAAAAATTACCAAAAGTCGAACCACAAGCTCAAAATCCATTCACAAATTATCCAAATTTTTCCCTTTGTTTTTTGAATTTCTCCAGTTCCAATTTTATTAGTCAAATTCTCCTTGGGCTTAGTATTTGTTCACTGATAGTTCCCCCCCTCCGTGTTTCAAGTGCCTTTTAGCTGCTAGTTTAGCTTTGGAAAAAAATTTAAGCACCAAAATTAAGATCTTTTGTTCTTACATCGGCCAGTCTTCCTCTGGTCCCAACACTCCGTTCATTACTCCACTCCTGCACCAGTCTTATTCCGGTTGCCCCGGCTCCAGAGCGGTCATTTAAAGATGGCCACCATCCCTGCCGTTGATCTTTGGAGAGAGTAGTTTCCGATCTGCTGGGGATTTGCCTCGCTCCAGGCAATCTCCCAAAATGCCTCTCCTTGTTCCCCGTCCCTTCAGAACCGTTCCAATCCACAAGGGACTTCTCGGTGGCGGTTTGTTGGCTGGGTTTTCACATAGCTCCAGAGCTCGCTACTTCTCCAGCTGTACTCGCTGCAATGCTTCCCAAAGGCTCTGGAGCCTATGACTTCTATGCAGGTATATCACTTTCTCTATGATGAATTGATGATCATTTTTTTTATTCATGAAGATAAAACTAGTTACATCATAATAGGATCTTCACTGAAATTATTGAGTGTGAGTGTTTACTTCTGGTACCTATTGGCTACTGTATTTTTTAAAATCAGTTTTGAGACTAATATACACTTCTACCCCCACATAAATGGGGATAGAAGTGGAGAAACAGGACAGTCTGCAATATAGCCATTCTTTTTGGTTTTATTATTAACTTCTCTTATTGAAAAAAATCACATTCAGCTCTCAGCAGATTTATTTTTTAAGTTAAATATATTTATTATTCCTGTTAATTATTCACCTACATCTCAGTGAGGTGTTGAGTAATTTAATGATTCTCACTGTCTAGTTAAAACTGTATAAATTGATATCATGAAACATACCCTTATCAGGCTGATTCAAATAATTTTTATTATGTCATTTTATTAGTCTTCCTTTGGTGTTTCCTTTCTCCAGAATATAAGCATATTCTTTCTAAAAAAACTGGTTTTCCAGATGATTTTTAGACTGCAAATCATTAATTACTTTCCAATATGATAATGATGTGATGCCTTTTTTAATGAAATGTGTACTCTTTTTTAGTCTTCGGCATTCAAAGTTATAATATTAACTCCTTCCTTTTTTCAAAATAAGATTAATCTCTTGTTGGAAAATAAAACTTCTGACTATTCTAAAATTACAAACTTTTATAGATTTTAGGTTAGCACTGTGAGTATTAAAATTTGAAACCAGAGTTGAATGGACATAGTCCAATACATCACTGAGACATAAGGCTAGCTTAGATATAATCAAATGCAATTTTATTTATTATATTAAATCTTTGCTTTCTAACAATTTTAAGCCAAAATGGCAACACACTGTAATGGGGGGAAGTGGAAATGTTAACATATCAGGACTAAGAATATTCAAGCACTCAAAACTATTTTTATAGTAAGACGTATGCATATTACTTCTTTCAAAAAAGACACAATAATTCAATATTATTTTCACAATGCAACTGCATCTTCGCTACATTTGAATCTTTCATAATTTATGAACTTCAAAAACCAAAATCCATCTCAGAAGAAAATTGGAATTCATAAAAACAAACAATTAAAACCAAAGTAAAACTTTTGTAAATAAGTCAAATTCTTAGGACATGTTTCTTCAGTTATATTTCTTATATGTAACAAGTGACTATCGCGACTACCATTCTGGCTTGGCTACCGCGACCATCGCTGGGCTGCTTGCCGGCTCGTTAGCCCGTTGGCTCGTTGATGCCACTGAAAGAACGCTGTGGCTAAGCTGCTCGGAGGACACCGCCCCCCCCCCCAGCTGTTTTTGGGGGAGCTCCGACCCTGCTATGACTGCTATGACTGCCACCCTGACTACCGCAATCACCGGTGTGTTGATGCTGGCTGTTGCTGGCTTGATGTCCCACTGGCTCAATGAGGCCGCTCTGAGAACACCTCGGCTCAGCCTTCTGGTCTGTCTTGTCAGCGTGGACCGGGTGAAGGGGTGGTTGGCTTGGATGGGCGGGTTAGTGCCTAGGGTGATCGAGCGGCTAGCTTGTGGCCGCCATTACGGCCCTCCTGAACCTTCCCCCCCTTCAGCACTTTTCAATCTGCAATGGCCGTTTTTCCATCCTATTGGGTGTACGAGCCTTTGGGACCTGCGGAACTAGATCAGCTGGCCCTTCGTTTTTAAGGAGGGGGGTTATGGGGGGTCTGGTGCTGGACAGAGGTGGGCAATTGTTATCATTTGTTATCTCTGCTCTCCCCTTGGACGCCCCCTCCCCCATCTGACCGGACTTTCCGCTGTGGTAAGGACCCCCTGGTTTGCCCTTTTTTGTGGCCGGGGGGGGGGGCTTCTCTGTTTACTATCCTTATTATCTACCCTAGCTGGCTCCCCCAATTATGCTTCATCTTTATGGACTTGGCCTGTTGGACTTTTAGTTTTACATCCCTGCCCCCGGACTACAACCATTATCGTGACTATCATCGTCCATTACTACCTCAGGAACTCTATCCTAGCCATCTCGACTATTACTTCTCTTACATTAGACTATCAGAGAAAGAGGTCATTCTAGCTCCCTCATACCGTGCCGGCCTTGACCGGTCTACTGTGCTGTCGTTTCATGAACTCTATATTTCTACGTACGGACTACTCGCCCAACTCTAACATCCTTTTAATACCTGCGCAATTTCTCTTGTATGCAGTGTGAATGTGTATGATTGTGAGTGAATGATCTCACCTTTTAACTTATGTAATCCCTTTTTTATATTATATTGTTGTAACTTTTAAATTTTTGTAGGGGTGTGAGTGAGCGCTTGGGCGTGTAAGTGAGGATTGGGATTGGAACCGGGTTCCCCCACACTGAGTGCTTTGCAGAAGTGTTGGGGGGATCTGG